GCTTTATGGAATTTTTTTCCCCCAAATATTTTTCTAACCACAGTTGATTGAATCCACAGAAACAGAACCCTTGGATATGGAGGGCTGACTGTACTATTATTTTGTAGGTTTTCAAATTTTTATACTCTATGTGTCAATCTGCAACTTGTTTTTAGACTCAGCATTATATTTTTGAGATTTCTCTCTGTTGATAAGAAGGCTATAAATGGTCCCAATCTACGAATATATCACAATTTGTACATTTGTTGATAGATACTTGTGTTATTTTTTTGTTTTACTGTTACAATAGGGTTGCAATGGACATTACATTAGCCCCAACTGAAAGCTTCTAGAATTTATTCCTAGAAGTGTAATTGCAGGGTTGTGTGATATGTGTCCTTTTGGTGTTACTAGATGTTGACAATTTATTCTCCAAAATGGTTAGCCCAAGGAACATGTTCCAAGGAAAGTGTTAATGCTCCTTCAGTTTCTCCACATCATCACTAAAATTTGATAAGTGTCGAATTATTTCATTTTTCACCAATTTGATGGATGTAAAATGGTATCTCATTGTTTTAATTTTCATCTTTCTGATTACTGGTGAGGTTGAACATCTTTTTATGTGGGTCATTGGTCACTAGAATTCCTCTGCTGTAAATTGCTTGTTCATGTCTTCTGTCCATATTTCCATTAGTTCACTGGTGTTTTATTACTGATTTTAATTCTTTGTGGTTATATACATTGAAGATTTCTTCTCCCAGTTTGCATTTTGTCTTTTCACATTGCCTGTGGTGTCTTTGGCTGAAAAGAGTTTTAAATTTTCTTGTAGACAGATTTACAGGTTTTTCCCTTCAGAAATATCCTTAGTGTCTTCATTTTTTCTTTAAGTCTCACCAAAAAAAAAAAAAAAAAGAGCAATTCTTTTATAAAAGGTATTCTGTGATTGGCTGTAATCCTCTGGGGCATTACTAAAATTTACATTTTTTGGTCACCATGCATGCCACCACACTTGGCAAAATTTTCTTACATTTTGTAGGGACTAGGTCTCACTATGTTGCTCAGGCTGGTCTTGAACTCCTAGACTCAAGCGATCCTCCTGCCTCAGCCTCCCACAGTGCTGGGATTACATGCATGAGCCGCCATGCCTGGCTATAGCTATATTCTATAAGCTTAGTTAAAAATGATTTTTCTGCCTATGCTCACTGGGCCCAGCATGGAATAAGTGATCAGTGAAAGTTAGCAATAGACCGTATGCACATGTCATTCTTGCTTTTCATGCCCTTAGTAGATGTTGCTAATTGACTACGTTATTGTCTTCACTCACATCTCCATATATTCATTTATTCACTATTCAACAACCCAACAACCGTTTTTGGAAAACCTACTATGTGTTTTGTCTGGTTTTGCAAATGTACTCTCTTCTCATACATAGATATTCTCTGTCCAACGTTACATTTTGATAAGAATTTCTTAGATGTTGTTGCTGGAGTATGAAGACACTCATTGGAAAGAGGCGTCTCTGAACCAGCTGTGATTATCCTCTGTGCAGTTCGGTCTGTAGACACTTCTCAGGTGAGAAGAGGGCATTGCACCATCCCCGGAGGAAAGAGAGCCAAGAAGGGGGATTTGCTGATGGTGTGCATGAGCACTGAGGCTCGAGCCACCACGGAGACACTCACGCAGCCAGCAGATGCTTGGTGTAAGACAGGCCGGGGAACCACCAGACACACACCAGCAGAGTGGACACATTGACGGAACCGAAATCTAAGCTACCACACACAGAAGGGGAAGAAGAACTTCTATTCTGAATCTAACCTTGGATATGGCCTGCTACACTTAAAAACAGGAGTCTATACAGTGTAAAATTCACCATAGTCAGGATACAATGTAAAAGTATTTGACATATAAACAAATAGAATTATGTGATACATTCATGTGACAAATGAAAAAAAAAACCAATGTATTTGCAAACATCAAATTGTCTAAATGTTGGAATTATAGATTGATTTTAACTTAATTTTTAAATAAGTGTAAAAAAAAAAGAAAGAAAGAAAGAAAAACCTATGTCCCTGAGCCTAGTTCTAATCTTTTCAAAGCAGCCGTATTGGAAATGGCACTTGTGCACATTGGCCATCCCAAGTGTATGTGTGCGTGTGTGTGTGTGTGTGCGTGTGTGGTATTTTTCACAGCTTTGCAGATGGGGATACTTATCTCTTAGAATGAATTGAGTATTATTAGGTCTTGTTTTCCCCTGATTAGGAACTGATTATATAATATGAGAAAATCTGTTTCTTGAATATGTAGAAATATTGTTCAGTAAACGTACTTAGGTCATATTTCTTTTGGTAGATGAGGTATTTCTTTAATAACTTTCCCAGTTTCCTTCTCCTTCATCATTATTTTCATGCTTCCTGCATCTTTTCTTGCCAATTTTGTATTTTGTGTTGTCAATTTGGCTAAACACTTCAAATTGATGATCATAGATTGTGCTTCACAGTCATTTATATTTTAAAATCCTTTATATCAATGCTTAAATCACCAGTCTTGGTTTTAATTTTGTTGATTTATAACTTTTCTCTTATTTATTATATTTCCAAGGGTTTTATCTATCTTATAATCTTTTCAGAGAATAAGCATTTAAATTTATTTTTCCACTGATTTTCTCTTTTCTAGTTTCTTTCTGTCCTTATTCTTTATTTTTTTTCCTCTTTTCTTTTATATTGACTGTCTTGTTTACATAAGGTAAGTCAAATGCTTATTTTACTTATTTTATATTTCTAAAATAGAAGCACATAGATCTACAAATTTATCTCTGCACCCTGATTCATCCATATCACCCTCAGTTTTGATATGTTGAGTTTTCAATATTATAATATCCCAAAAGTCATTACCATGTTTTTAGTTTCCTACTTGACCCTGTTGCTTAGGAGAGTTTTTGTTGTTGTTAGAAGTTGATACCCATTTATTTGTTTGTTGTTGTTGTAAATTTTCATTTGTATATAATTTTAAACTTATAGAAATGTTAAAAGACTAGTTTGAAGAACTCCTGTACACCCTTTATGCAGATTCACTATTTGTTTATATTTTTCCCTAATTGCTTTAATCATTCACTATCTTTACATACATGTGAATTTGTTTCTGAATCATTTGAGAATAAGTTGAATATATACATACATACCTAAATACTTCAATGTATTGATATTTTCTGAGATAGACATTTTCTCTTATAAAAGTCAAGAAATTTAACAGTTAAAATCAGGAAATTTCATATTGATACAATATGATTATCTAATCCCATAGTCCATATTCAAATTGTCAGTTATCCCAATAATGTGTTATATATATAAAAAGATAGATTGGGAGTATTTTAGAATTTAAAATGACAAACAACTGAGATGGCTACGTCTATAGGGCACACAAATATCAATATTTATTTTCCTTTTGTACTCTGTTCTTAAAAAGTCCATATTTATTATTATTTTAGTATGTGCTTACTTACTATATATTCATAGTAGAAAAATTACAGATAAAGAAAGCAAAATAACAAAAATTACCAGAAATCTCAGTGCACAGAGGTAACCACAGTTAGTATTTAGATTTTCTAGACTTTTGCTCTCAATCAACAAAAATTCTAGACTTTTTTTCTAGTTACATAAAATATGAGTACATTAAAAAATGAGATCATGTATGAGTTATGGTTTTAATTGTCTTTTAAGTCTCAGTTTGTTTTACCTACTTTATAGATAATCTTTACAACAACTTGACAAGGTAGAACACATTTTTAGATGAGGAATCCAAGATTCAGAGAGGTTCAATAAATTGTCCAGCTCACACAGCAGTAGGGATGGGGTTATAATCCAAACCCTGAACGGTCTTCTTCCAAAGCTGTGGATTAGATCACTATTTTGCCCAGGCTCCTTTCATTGTTTTTACTTACGTTATTAACATTTAGTTTTATTGCATGTAGTGAGAAAAAATATATGTATTTTTTCTTGATTCATTTTTTGAGACCTTATTTGAGAGTTAGTATATGTACCAATGCCTTATATATTGAAAATATTGTAATATTGCAACTTAATCTATGTTGGTATTGAGTTCAATATATGTCTATTGGTTCTAACATATCAACTGCGTAGTATTCATAACCTCTGTATTTTTCAAATTCATGTCTACTCTTGTGACATTTGTAATGTCTTCTAAATTTTTGTCTATTTAATTTGTCTTTAATTTTTAAGATTGTCTACTTTTTTCCTTGGCCTTAAAATAAAACCTTCCATTACAATTATTTGCTTTTTATTTATTATATTTCTGTTTGCATTTCTAACTTTGGTAATCTATGTCTTCACAGTTGATTTCACATTTTTCACTATAAGCAGGGGCTTTTTTTCACCCTGCCACCCCTTTTTTGGCTTTAAAATCTCTTTTATATGATATCAACTTTACCAATTGTTTTCTTTTTGTTGTATGAGCTCCCGCGATAAAATTTTTAAATTTTAGCATTTCTGCATCTTTTTTTTTTTAAACAACAGATACCTATTTTAAAGCAATAAACATATTGTTGGGTATTATATTGTAATCTTATATGAGAATTTGTCATTTGGGAAATGAACGGCCTAAATATATAGAAGTTCTTTGGAATGTGGTGTCAGCCACTAGCTGTGGACTTTCTACAAGTTCCTTAATTATCCTGTGAAGAAGCTACTTATTGGTGTCCTCATCTGTAAAATTGTGTTAATAAGCATACCAACCTCATAGAGTTGTTGCAAAGATTAGATGAGATCACGAACACCGAGGACTAGAAGCATATTAAAGCACATTAAACTCATTATTTGTAAAATATAACTGTCAATATTTGCAGTTATAGACATCATGTCTGAAAACATCATTCAAAAAAAGTCTCTTGGCAATAGTATATAAAGCACGTCGGTTAAACAACGATCTATGCCCCAAATGGGGGCAAGGAGCTCTGTACTCTCCAGCCATATCTTAAGTTTCTCTTTGAGATAATAGGAATAACTTACAATAAAAACTGCTGAGAAGCAGCGGTCCGAAGCCCCTTAGATGTTCTCAGGTTTCAGTTCAAGTTGTCTATCTCCGTTTCCGGCTGCACTGTGGAGAGTCACAGCTTGATTTAAATTCAGTCGTGTTAGGAATCACCGCCTTGCTTTCCATGTAGTTAATTGAGTGTTTAGATTGTACAGATAAGTTGTTTGCTCTCATAATGGGTGTTGAAGCTGGAGGCTTCGTTGTGCAAAAACCAAAACTTAAGAAGAACCCATCAAGCAAATGATAGATTTTCTACTTCCTGATCCAACGAAAGGCGATCTCCGGGGAGCCAGATGTGGGGACTGATTCTCAGCCCGGGCTTCCTTCCCCGGCAGTCCTCCCGCTGCACAACTGGAACCGGCAGTGCTCCCGCTGCTGCACAGCTGGAACCTCTGCATCCGTGGAAACTGCTGGGAATGAATTCTCAGTCACTTCTGCAAAGCTTTTTTTTTTTTTTTTTAAATGCCTGAAGTTTAAATTAGAACGCATTTTTAATTTTTTTTCAAAATGTTCTTGGTATTTTAGGATCCGCACAACCTTAAATCAGACAGTGCTATATTACCAAACCGAGGTCTGTGATGTTACAGTCCGATAAACTTCAGAATGACGTGATTTATTTTTAGTTGTATGAGCTTCAGATCTCTGATGGTTTCTATTTGACCACTCAGAGGAAGATATGGGTCCATTCCCTACCTGATGCAATAGAGCGGTTTTCTGGTAACAGTCATCCTCTGGTCCCTTGTTAAATGCAATGTTTCCAAGTCCCCTCCCCCCTGGGAGATTCTGATTCAGTGGATCCAGGGTGGGGTCTCAGATTTGTGTTCTTAACATCAGCTTGGGAAATATCAGAGTAGGCTGAGGGAATAGTCTGCTTTTAGAATCAGACCGCTCTGGGCTGAAATCCTGGGTCTTTCCCTTGCTAGTTAGGTGGCCTTGCACAAATGACTTAACCCTCCTTAACCACATCTGAATGTTTTTATCTGGAGATAAAAACATCTACCTTCCTTGCAAGGATTAAAATAACTCCAAAGCCCTTTATAGCATCCACTTTTCTCAGTGCGGCTAAATCATTTCTATCTGGGTTAATTTGAAGATTATCTGGGTACTTATTTAGCATACAAGCATATGTGTTTTTACTTATTTTTTTCGATTTATTTGGCATATATTTGTAAAGCTTTTGCCGTGTGGAATACACTGGGATTCCTAGAACCCATTGAGCACCTCCCTGGCGGTATGAGTGTCCACGTGGCTTATCCCAGGCTTTTGAAGGAAATGCCCAAATTTCTGCATGAGCTACTTTATCTAGCAGACCTCTAATTATTCAGGGGGCTCCCTGAGTTAGGAGCGCCATGTCCTTAGTTCTTCCTTGCTCCAGAAATCCCAATTTTCTTGAATCCAATCATGTGTATATTTTTTTTCTTCAACAGAAAAATATACAATAAAATTATTCTATTCTATTTTATTCAGAATATGTTCGAGGTACTTTGCATTATGCAAACTTCCCTTCCTGAACACAAAAGCTTTTATTTATTTTTATGATTTATTTATTTCTTTCAGCATATTATGGGGATACAAATGTTAAGGTTACATATATTGCCCTTACCTCCCCTCCCACCTCGAGTCAGAGCTTCAAGCGTGTCCATCCCCCAGTTGGTGCACATCACACTCGTTATGTATGTATATACCCATCCCCTGTCCCCCACAAAAGCTTTCATACTTTTGTTTCTCCATCCTAATAGCAAGAGTCTGATGGATTTCTGATGAATATACTTATATTTTATTTATATTTAGTCTTGCTTCAAAAGACGTTAAAGTGCTTTTTAAAGATACAAACAATGTAAGGCTTATTAAAAAGAAAATTTAGGCAGACAAATGAGGGTAGGAAAAATGTGGTGCATCCATAGATGAAATTATACATCAAATACATGTTGTACCATCCTTTATATTAATACTTTCTTAGTTGTCTGCCAGATATTTGGCTCTGAATTCTCTAGCACTCATGGGAGACCCTCTGCAGACCAAAGATGAAGGTGTCGATTTTCAAGCAATTATTGAGATGATCATCTATATGACTCTTAAACTTTGTTCTAACTTTTCCATTAGCCTAAGACTTTAGGTCCTAATCAACATTAGGGTCATTGAGAGCCTACAGAAGGGTCATAAAATACCATGGAAAACTACGTGCTCTCCAATCTTCCAGCCAAACACAAAATGCATCAGGGAATAAGAGGTCTCTTGCAGCGGAGGAGACGAGAGCTGGGTGGAAGAACTGGGCCAAGGATCAGCCAGTCTTCTGGTCCAGAAGCTATAACCATGGCAACAGTAGGGATGCCCTTAATTGGCACCAGCAAAGAGAGCAGCCAGTCATACTTCTGGGATAGGCTCTAGGTGAGGGAAGTTTATGCAACGTCAAGGCATAGTCACTGGGAGAAAATAGCCACTTTCACATTTACCTTGGAAACTCATATTGACAAAGCAGAGGCAAATGTCCCATGGTACATCCTGGCTGAGGCCAGGCGTGAGTCCCTTGCGTGGGGACCTGTAGCCTGCCTCAGGTTTGCCTTTTATTCCTTTTACTTTCTAGTAACAGTGTTGCACAGGACTTTCAATAAGCAAAGCCCAGAGGAGGAGAGTTGCTTTTGAAGCCACACTCTTGTCTGCCTCATTCATTTCAAACAGAGACTCTTCTCAAAGAGATGAAGGCCTGTGTACAAACAACAATGCCCGCTGCATTCTCTTGCCTTCAGCTGTGATGTGGTGGCTTTTGATTCTACACAGAAGCTGCCTTGTTTCTGGCACTGATTGATGGATCTCCTGAATGGAGGAGGCAACAAGAACAAATGAGCAGGGCTCCCGGTAAGGCGAGGTACTTCAAGAGAATGGGCTTGAAAGCTCTTCAAATAAAAGATAAACACAAGCCTCCACAGGCATTGAGCTGTTCCTGGTTGATAATTTGCAGTTCTTAAGGTTTTCCATGTGTTTGTACAAACATATATAAGCTCCTTGGAGACATCTGACCTGGGATTTTAGACTTTTTTGGTGGAGGGGGAAAAAAAAATTCCATCCAAATAGATGGGTGGAAATAAAGACCACAGGAGGTCTGAGTCTGGCGTGAGGCAGGGGAACAGAAAACAATGCCTTGGAAGAGCTGGTCCGGAGGCCTCTCTGTCTAGGGGAGGGAACATGTGATTTCTCGCTGGAAACACAAGGAAAGTCCCCAAAAGGCTCATTATGATCACCATGGGCAGCACCAGGACCTGCTCTGTGGACGTTCTGAGAGATGAGCCTCCTCCTCCCACAAACCCCTGTGCTTCTGTTTTGCCGAATAGATGGAAACCAAACAGTGAAAAATCAACATGAAAAATGTAGCCACATTACTTTTAGGAGAAAACCCTACCAAACTCCCTGTGAGTCCTCAGTCTTAGTGTGTATGTGTGTGTGGGGGGGGGGGCATGGTGCAGGCTCAGGGAATGGGTGGGGGTGCTGGGAGGGGAGAGAGGAAGGGGAGACAGGGAAAGGTAAATGAAGCGGGGATCCTTGTCCAGATCAGTGGTTCTTACACACCACGTTCTCTTAAAAAAAAATAAGGTCCACCAGCGGGATGATGTTCTACTGTTTAACTTAATTAGGGTTAATATCTCAGTTTCACAGAAGAAAATGTTAATCAAATCAGACTCTCTTGGTTGCCCACCCAATAGCAGTTCTCTCCTTTGCATTTTTGCATGCAGAGCCCCGTTTTGATGGGGAGTCCTCCTGCGCCTGTCATGATTCAGGGAAGGTTGACTCCATCCTGAACTCCGGGGGAAAAAAAAATCCTGATTTTATTTTTTTTGGTGACAACTATGGGAGGCAGAATTTTAAGATGGCCTCTGTGATCTTCCCCCTCTGGCGTCGTGCCCGTGATCATGGCAAAAGGCAGATTATCTGAGTGGGCCAAATCTAAGCACACAAGATTAAGCTGCTGGAAAGGGGGTGGCTGGTAGAGGGGGTGTCAGAGAGATTCAAAGTGGGAAGAGGATTCAATGCACCACTGCTGGCTTTGAAGATGGAGGGGGCCATGTGCCAGGACTGAGAGTGGCCTTGGATGGTGAGATGGGCCCCTGGCTGACAGACAGCAAGGCGTGGAGACCTCAGTCCTACCATTGCGAGGAGCTGCATTTTGCCAACAACCTAATATGCTTGGGAGTGGATTCCCCTCCAGAGCCTCTGGATGAGGGGTAGCACCACTAACACCTTGACCTTGGCCTTGTAAGTACCTAAGCGCAGCACCTGCTCAAGCCTTCCCGGACTTCTGACCTATAGAACCGTGAGAAAACAAATGGATATTGTCTTAAGCTGCTAAGTCTGTGGTTATTTATCATGCAGCCATAGAAAACGAATACAGCAACACGTGGATAGTGTCAAGAAATCCATATTTCTACTCGGGAGGAATTAGTTTCAGTTCTGACCCTAATCAGGAAGCAGAAAGTTACCTGCGGCAGAGACTGTTAATTAGCTATCCAATAACTACCCTTCACTATTCCCCTTCCAAAAGTCAGAACTCCTACATTCTTGTTTTCCCTGCCACCCTTGCCGATGGGGCGGGCGTGTGACTGGGATCTGCCTTGGGCCACAGTCCAGTGAGGATACGAAACTCGACTTGGAGCAGCTATTTCCTAGCCATGCGCTCACAAGCCTGAGGATGGTAGAGAGGGAAGAAAGAAAGATCTTGGTTCTTCCATGACAATTTTGAGCTAAGGTGTCAACTTTGGAATTGCCTACTTTTGTATCTCTTGTTATGTGAGATAATTAAATGTCCTTATTGCTTAAGTCTGTGTCAGTTGGGTTTTCTGTTGCTCGAAGCTGAACTCATCCTGACTGATACATGACCCTTCCTACCAAAAAGTGTAGTAGGCGGAATGCAGAGGCATCTGGGGCTGACCGCATAGAGGTTGAGGATCAGACTGTTGGCACAAGTAGGAAAGAGTCTACAGGTGTTTAAGAGCATAAAGACAAGTAGCTCTTGGGTGATACCTACAACTATTAAACACAAGTGAAATTAGAACTATCTTGGGTGATATCTAGAACTATTAAAGACAGGTTAGAAGACTCCCATCTCAAGATGTTCTCTGATTCTATGCTTTCTATTTACTGAGGTTCTTTCCCAATGCAGAAAAGTTTATGTGGTCATGGACTGATGCTATACTAAATTCTAGTCATATAACCTTGGATCATTCATCTAGCCTCTGTGAGGATCAGTTTGCTCATCTGCAAAGAGGGGATGAGATAACACTTTATGTCACTTGGCTTTATGAGGATCAGAGTTGAGTGTATGTGTGAACTTGCTTTGGAAGCTTTAAAGACCAGCTCTGGTGTAATGTCAAAATC